GTCTAAAAAGACAATGAAAGTCTTAAGAATGAAACATCCATCTAAGAGAAAATAACACAACCAAGGACATCCACCTGAGCTACATATAAATTCTCCACCATTTCAAAATCAAGCTGACTTACTTTCTTCTAGTGTAAACACTTTAATTTCGTTCGATATCTTCAATGAATTCAATTTTGAAGAATAAAATGCGCTTACTACTGAGAAGTATTATATAAGAATGTATTTCATTATTATGCAAGAGTGTTTTGAAAATTGGATTGAGATTTTTCTGAAAATTCCACTATATAATGTAAGGCTACTTTAGCAGAATATCAGTGGAAACCAAGATCATAACAAAAAAATAGTTGTTGTTTATGGTGTCAGCGATTCGCAAAGATGCTTCTTGAGTGGATTCAGCAGCGGTTGTGTCTTATGGCATAAAATCCAGTCTGAAAATTTAAATTCACTAAGAAGAGTAGTTTTTATAAGTGTAAAACGTTCAGTTAAGAAAAACACACAACGATAAGGTTTAAAAGATAAATTATCTAGTATTTAGGCCAATTATATTGAAGATTATCTCGCCTGGTTAACTAGTTCACTAGTCACCAGCCGGTCTTAAGCACGGGTAAAAAGGGAAGATTGGGCATAGAGCTACCAACCCTTCCCCGGAAAACCAATCTATCAATAACTGACTACGCTGGCTGGTTAATGAAGATCAGATGGCCAGAAAGAATAAGCAACAAGGAACTCTGGCTGGCTGGCTGGCTGACAACGAACCAACCAAGAACCTATCACACAACAAATGTGCAGAAGTAAGTGGAGATGGATTGGGGATAGACTAAGAAGACCGATTGGGGACATCATGCACCAGGCCAGGTCGTCGAGTGGGACTCAGGTGGGAAATGGCGAGTTGGGCGACCGAGGTGAGGGTGACATGGGGGAGATCATGTTAGGAAGAAATCAGAGGTCCTGGGCAGACGTGGTGCTATGTTCAAAACATTGCGGAGAACAGAGTGGAATGTAGACATGCTACTGAAGCCATATGTTCCACTAAGAACTCAAGGGACAAATAATAATCTACTGAAGAAAGTTATGGACCTTTAAACGTTAGGCTGAATCACAACAAGTTATGTGTGATGAGTGTACTGAAGAATGTGGATGAGTTCAAAGGTTTACAAAAGAAAGTCAGAAATAGCTATCTAAGCAAAATAAAACTGAACACAAAGATGGTTTGAAAATGCGAAATAACACATAGCGAATGAATACTCAAATTACTGGATAAGTTTCTGTATAAAATCTATGATACATAATCACATGTAGTGATATGAATGTGACTATATATCATGACTACACAAACATGGAACTAGTGTCAAGAATAATAAATAAGTTATACACCCATAGTTATATAACGAAGGGTATTCATTCACGTAAAAAGTTGCTGATATCAAATATCAGAAAGTAAGTTTCTTACTATTTATGAAGTCAAGTAAATACTGGATATTCAAATAAACAATAATAATTCAATACTATCTGTGACGATAAATCTTACTCCTGGACATTAATGTAAAGCTTGTTACAGAAAATTATCCAACCGCTAATCTCTACCGACACTGAATATCACACTCTTATGAATATAAATGTATCAGCAATACATTCCTCTGAGAGATTAATCACAGGGTCCGTTATGTACCAACCATCTTCTCGTTTTCCTTAGAGATTACGATGTATAACATATTGATGTTGATAGATTTTCTTGAAAGTCAACAAGATGTGAGATGACCGACAAGGATCAGAAGTAAAGCTCAATCAAAGATGGTTAAAACTCGATTTGCTTTCTACACCGATACCATGAGTACAACAGGAGTCGTGGAACGTAAGCAGGTGACGCAACACGCATTTGCGCCTGAGGCTAAAATCAACAGTTTGACACTTAAAAGGGTTTTGTATGAGACCGTTTGACAGAGACCACTGGTCAAATTCAGACAAGAAGCCATTTAATTCAGAGCAATCTAAATGAGGGTTAACTAGCAAAGAAGCCGTTATGTCATGATGATGCTTAATAAAACTTATCTTCAACAGAATGAGGACGAAAACAGAAATGGAGAAAGTGCTGCAACTTGAGGCACGCTAGCTTCAGTAGGCAATGAAGTGGGACTCTTCTTTTTATAAACCTCATACCTTTTTCCTTCAGGAAAATTGGAAGACAGTCACTTTGTAACACATGAACTATGCTATGCGATCACCACCGTGATTTATGGATGCATTGACTACACAGAGTACGACCCATGTATATGCACCACTAGATACCAAATCTCTGTGGCTGAATGCTTAACGCGTTCGTCGTGGAACCTGAAGATTGTGAATTTGATCCCCACCTGGTCGTTGGTGCGTACTGCTGACGAGTCCCACACTAAAATGAAACAGGTGTGCAGTGCTCCTAGGTTTTCTCAATGGTTCTCCAACTGACGTCAGTCCATGATGAATACCACCTGAAAATTAAAATCCCTATCCACCTCAAAATACATCAGTTCTACACAAATGTGAAACCAGCAGTGAGTCATCAAGACTTCTGACTTGCTTGGCACAGACAAGACTTTTGTAGTAATAAATTGTATCAACATTTCAGTGTTCAACAGAATGTTGAGAACAGGTGATGGGAAAATATTTAGGTAGATTAAAACCCACTGTAGTTTTATGGGTCGAGCGCTTAATGACTATTGTAGTTGTTAGACCTGATAATGCCTACCACTGATATTCGACATCATTTTCATCATGTCTCATTCAGCTAGTATGTTCAAGGTAGTGAAAATCACGGACTGAAATTATTTGGAGAACCACTGTAAAAGTGGGAGCACAGGAGACCCGTTTCGTCGTGGTACGGGACTCTTGACCAGTATGCACTCAAGACCTTCCCTAGGAATCGAACTCAGGACCTCCAAGTCCCTGGTATAGGCGTGGGCGTGTACTGCTGAGGAGTCCCATAGTAGAACGAAATGGCTGTTCACTACTCCTAGCTTTTCAATGGTTCTCCAATTGGTATCAGTCTTTGGTGAATGCTACCCGTAAAGTGAAAATCCCCATGAACCTCACTCAATATAAATTAGTATTGTCTTTTGATTGATTTTTTCTACATGATAGCATGTCTGAATCTAACCATACTATATCCTGTTTTACTCATTCAACAACATTCCTACTATACCTTAAAGTACTGCTTTCAGCTTGATCTAATGTTGACACATTAACCTTTGCAAACTACAGAATGAGAAAAAAGCTTTTCTATGAACTGAAAAACATGAACCAAAATCGAAAGATCCATTTCACCAAGTATGTTTTATGCGATCAAAGAGGTTACTTTATAATTTCAGCGATGAGAGTATACACGATGTTATAAGGTATCATAATCGATAAATAAATTTCAAAACAGTTTTTTTAAATGGAACGGAATCAGTAGAATGAAAGCTATACACCTGGAAGTACTGAACAGTAGATCCGTCCCGAGTTTTCGGTGCTCCTAGTTGTCCAACCAATCTCATTTCTTAAAGAAACTATTCTAAAATCAATCAAATCCTATTATAAAAGTGAATTTGTCTTGAAAAGTTAACCGGAGATGATTCAGTGAAGTAAAGTCTCTTCTCCATGAATCATTTTCAAAAGATATACAATCGTAATGATACAAGAAAATGTATTTTCATCAATAGCTAATGGGCCAACACAAAGTCATCGAAAACAGTCGATAATGTCACTAGGTGATGAGGGCTACAATGTCAATCGAAGGTCATCAAAATATCATATAGGATTACAAGAAAGAAAGAAAGAAAGAAAGAAGTAATAAATACAGAAATGAATAAAATATCCCAGAAGGATAACGACCGAGATTATATTCGAGACTGAATGTATCTCCTTTGAACGTAGAGATCAGGATTATACTGTTGGATTGTGAAAGTTTCTGCTGAGTTGAGACGGTGAATATGTACTCCCTTTAAAATGTTTGATTTCACTGTATAAATGACTTTGAAAGAATATCCACTTGGAACGTAGTGACCGGAGTTAACCGAATGCTCAAGAGTCGACCTGTCAATATCTCTATACTCTCCTTTAGACAGCCATTCAGTTTAGTGTTTGGAGATGCATGTGGATAGAACACACTTTGTGTGGCCTATGTTAACGATTCCACAAGAGCAAGCACACACATGGTGTACACATATGAATGTGACCAGTAGGTGAAATTCTGAGTTAATATCAGTTGCCATGGTACATTTAACCTACTTGTGACATTCTCTGAACTTTGGGAGTATATCTTCAAAGTTACTATCCTCCTCACAGATGATGATTCTCATCCGTGTATCTCTTATACAGGTGGAACTTGTCAATCAGCGGACACACTTTACCTCTCTATCGATTGTCCATAAGCAGTCAAGTAGTAGAGGATATGATGGTTAACCCATTGCTACCCCATCGCTTTGTCCACATAGTTCATTGTCGAATCTACATTGAACATTTGAGGTAGATCTTATGTCCACGAATGCCAATTTTATTCTTGGTGATCTGAATATAATCACACCGAAAGCAGATGGTTTCTGTCAAAATGACATTTGGGAACATCAATATCAGGTGTAATGATAAAACACGCTTACCACACACGCTGACATCTTTTATGCAGTTAACAAAGTCGAGGGATATCCTGAGAAACAGATTACTTCACTCTTTTTATTCAATAGAATTGAGTATCGAAATTTTCGATAGAGTTTTGACTATCTTGATTCTTCAATTCATACAATTTCAGGATATTCACTAAAAGAGTTCTCTTGGACAAATCTTGTAGAATCATTATTATCATTATTATTGTCACTACTTTTATTATTATTACGATGATAGTAAACAAATATGTTTATCAACTTCACGATTTTAATGTTGAACTAAGAAACTTTATCCGCCGACATTTGATTGGTCAGGCAAGCAGCTTACAAATACATAAATTTAGTCGATTAATAGCTAGATGAAAACACTTTTAATTCACTATGCAAATATTCCACTTTTTCAATTTTTCTATCTTCTTCTTCTTCATCTCTATAGCAAATGCTTACTGGCGTCCTAAAAATCCTTGGACCACTGAACTTTCTGAATTGTTAGCTCTACACAATGCATACCGACAAGCTGTGAAATACGGTAAAGTAGCAGATCAACCACCAGCGGTGAATATGGCACACTTAGTGAGTGTAGAGAAAAAGTGATTTCGAATAACTGTTGAATACACGCATCTATTTCACTGAAAACTTATTTTCTCACCTTCATCACTTATGCTACTATCCTCTCTTTCAGCAATGGTGTTTTAAATTAGCTTCACTCTCTCGGAACTGGGCGATGAGATGTCAAAGTGAACGCAGTAATATGACAATGAGGCAAGGCGCATCATGGAAATATGTTGGTCAAAGTGTAGCTGTTGTTTCAAATGTCAGAAAGTAAGTTTCTTACTATTTGTGAAGTCGAGTATATACTGGGTATTCAAATAAACAATAATAATTCAATACTATCTGTGACGATAAATCTTACTCCTGGACATTAATGTAAAGCTTGTTACAGAAAATTATCCAACCGCTAATCTCTACCGACACTGAATATCACACTCTTATGAATATAAATGTATCAGCAATACATTCCTCTGAGAGATTAATCACAGGGTCCGTTATGTACCAACCATCTTCTCGTTTTCCTTAGAGATTACGATGTATAACATATTGATAGCGTTCATGGAATCATTAATTGAGGACCAATTCACCTGATTATGCATTAGAGCGCAAACATTATCCATATTACCAGTGTACAAATATTCTTAAGGGTTACTTGTAGCACAAAAATCAACTTGCACTCAATGTGAAAAGATAAATTGTAATAATAGTATTCATGGATAACTATCATCGCATCTATCCATTTATTATTATTATTATGGTGTTGGTGTTGTTGGTGGTGGTGGTGATCGAGTATCTTCACCACCTCTGTCTTCTCTACGTTCACCTGAAGAAAACTCCGTCTTCTCATCCCTCCTCCCCCTCTTCTATCAACTTGTTGGATTTTGCATTTAGGTCAGTCCTTTCTTCATGGACAATCAACATCTCAATGTAGGCTACAAAAAGCACTGAAAAGTCTCAAATATCTAATCTGTCCTGTGTAATTTTCTCTGTGTGTGTTTGTGTGTCTGTGTTATTTGAATAATCCTCACATTTTCATCTTCACATTTACAGTGCAGTTATTCAGTGGTTCAGTGAGCATAACAACTACAACTTCATAACGAATCAATGCAAAGAAAAGAAAACATGTGCAAACTATAAACAAGTAAGTTAGTTTTATGTATGGTTGATATGCTAACAACAGTCATGGTCAAACAGATGAGTGGATAGATCCTGTTACATAGGATAGAATTAATCTAGTGTTCAATGGTGATTAGCTTCTAGAGGTGATTCCTAATGTTCCAATGAGAATTGAATTGAATTGAATTGAACAATGGAGTCAACCAAGTCGAACTTGTGAACAGTTAGTCAACGACGACGTTGAATGTAGGTCGCCGAGTATCGTGAACTACCAGAAGTAAGAAATATCGACCATGGGATTCCGACCCAATGGCTCGATGTTGGCGTGCAGGCCACAGAATCTGAAGGTTCTTGGTTCGTCCCGTGTGGGGTGGTGTGTGTGCACCGCTGAGGAGTTTCATACAAGTGGGACGAGACAGCTGACCAGTATTTCCATGTTTCCAATGTCCCTCTAATTGATATCAGTCCATGATGAATTGCAACCGAACATCAATTCATAGATCTGCACAAAACTCCAGATAGGAGGACATTATTCATTAATTCAATGTAAATAGTTTAAGTGATGTTTGAAGGTCGAATATGAAAATAGTAGTTTTCTGAATTGGAAATTTATTCAACCTCATTTTATCATTGAAAATGGAAGGTAGAATCAACATGCCATCAGTATTGCAATGGTTGCAAATGCTCATTGTGGAATTTGTAGGCGTTGCACTTGTGTGTATTAAGGAAGGGAAGATAAGTTAACATATGAAAAGCTGTTCAAATAGTTGAAATAGTTGTTGACGGAATGGGAAAGGCTTTCGTTTAACTGGCTTCCCTGTCTACAATCCGTGGATCACTACTTCTTGTGGTTGTTAATCTGTGTACGTGTAAATAAAGAGGAGGACGTGGTGGTTAAAATGTGAAGATTCACGTGCTTCTGGATAGATGCCAGACACATGTCAGGCAGGCATGCATTCGGCGTTTAAAGGATTCAGACGAAGTAGCCTAGATCACATCTTCAGAAAGAGCATTTCAGAGTTTAACAACTCTTAGGGAATATAAGTTGTCTGATATCTAACCCGCCATGTTTCAGGCCTAAATTTCTGTGTGTGTGTCCTCTAAGATTAGTGCTACAACTAGAATTTGATGAGTGACGCAGTGGATGACCAGGCGTGCTGAGAATGTCGTGAGTCATTATTAAGTCTCCGTTTAGTCTTCTGTATTCCAGAGGATACAGATCCAGTGCAACCAGTCGTTCTTTGTATGTTCTAGACCTAAGTCCTCGAACAGATTTTGTCGAGTGCCTCTCGATGCGTTCTAAGCTTAGTTTGTACTTCTGGAGAGAGAAGGTGGGAAGACGATGGTTTCTAAATCTAGGTAAGACCGTTTGTTTCTGACCAATCATTTATCGTTGGACGATGAAGTGTTGGGGATGTATTCACAGCGTATATAAACTGGCGAAATTTCTGGTGGAAATGCCGAAACCAGTTCAAAACCTGTTCTGTATGTTTGCATTGAAAGATTCTTTTCAAACTTTTTACTGTCCTAGTAACATGTCTATGAAAAGGAAGACAATATACTCCTTTGATAAAAATTGTTTATTCAATATCATGCAGTTATGCCGCACTATTCACATCCTCTGTGACCACATATCTTCTAGAAGCTCCCCATTTCCAATTGCTCTCACTTTCCCCACAGAACTATTGTATCTGTATAGCGGCAAAGTTCATTTCACATTTGAAGGTGGGCGCTGTCGACAAGTTGATAGTGTAGCTATGGTTAGTCCCTTAGGACTGTTACCAGCTGGTATTTACATGTCATATATCGAAAATCTGACTGGTCATCTCATCGCCAAAGTTTCTCTTCACAAGAGATGTGTTGATGATGTCATGGTGGTTTGTAAGAGGCATAAAGATATGGCTTGTCTACTACTAAAAAGACTCAACATTGTACAAACTCATATCAGTCTGACTTTTGAGAAAGGGAATAATAGTCATCTGCCATTCTTAGACCTAGTCCTGAGTCGACGAGAAGATGGTTCATTAAGATGGATAGTATAATTTTGAGACACAGGCTGACATCAGCCATTAAGAGAACATGTTACGTAGCTAATCTTATCATTGTGGAAAAAGCAAAACGCATGCCCTTAAAGGTAGGGAATTAAGTAAGTGTCTGTATTGACACACAGATTTATTTCCACTGTACACACTTCTGCAGAATGAGCCATCTCATCGTCTAATTAATAGAACAAGGAACTTTATCTTATCGGCATATTCGTCTTCCCAAGTAAAGGATGCATGTTTTAATAATTCTTCACTAGACTACTTTATCACGATCTCAATGTTCTGTTCAACAGTTTACTAATGCGTGACCGATTCACATTATTCACTGTTATGTTACCATCTTGTAATCACTAGTAGTAATTTTAGGCGGGTAAGTCATATGATGAAGCAGTCATCATATTGCTGGAAATGGATTGATATGGAGTCTCACATTCAGAAAGACTGCATAGTCCTTTTTAATAAGAATTGATCGCTCTCGAAAGGACACTAGATTTTAAATGTTTCTAAACATTAGTTTTCTGTATTGTGTTACCTCTAAGGAATATGCGCCAAACCTACTTCAACGGTTACATTTGTTATTGATCTAGAATATGCCAGTATATCGATTGAGACAGAGGGAGGATCAAGTTGCTGTGCATATCATGTGTATAAAGGGCAAGTAGGCTGACAGGTACACATTTGTGATAGTAAACCCCAAGTTACGAGGAAATTATAATCCATAGTTTTTGGAAATAGTTAAAAAATTAACGCATGTAACGTCCTAAGAAATATCTTGTGATGCATCTGTTGAACACAGAAACAGAATCTGTGATGCTACGCTTTACATAGTTGTCATCAGGTAACCGAGTGGAGAAATGTTTCTGTCTGTATAAGCTTTTTGACTGCATATCTCAACTGAGACTTGTCATATGAAAGTGGTGTTTGTCATGAATGCATCATAATAGGAAGCGGTCTAAATGGAAATCAAAATTCCACATCATCAGCCAACAAAGTATAAGTTGTGGATTTCAATTTTTCTGCCGATTACCTTTGTCCAACTAACATGTATGAGAACCTATCTGAACAGAAAAATATCTTAAAAGAGAAAGAATAAACATTGGAACAGAATAATATGCATCTGTGTTATTATTTCAGTGGTTCTGATCGTCAGCTAACAACCCAGAGTACTTTCAATAACCAATTATAGTAACATTAATATATCTCAGTTCAGTGGAATCAGTCGAAACCGGAAAACGATTCAGTGAAGAAAGGAAACTGTCCGAATTGAAATAAAATCAAAATATAGTGTAATAATGCCATGAATATGTACAAATTAGATGAGGACAGAGAAATGAATATTGTGGAATCGGGAACACGAGGTTGTGCAAGTCAGTGAGTAGATAAGCTAGTGATTACCACTTCCTATCAAAGCTGACTCTCGAATTCAGTACACATAACTGTACTGACATATGTAGCTCTTCGGCGGATAAAAAACAAAACACTCCAGTACCATGAATCAATCTAATTTAATATCAAACTGGATGGAATTTTCCGATCTCTTTATTGTTAATAAACGACCTAAACGGTGGATGGAATTCACAGGTAAAAGTTACCACTTCATGTTATTTATGTAAATTGAATACGACCAAGTGATAACATCATCAGGTGTAGATTTAATTGTCCTTAACTTTACATCAACAGCCGCCTACACTCAATAATGAAGACCGATCAGAAGGCCAGAGAGAATAATCAACAAGGAACTGTGGCTGGCTGGCTGACTGGCTGACTGGCAACCAACCAACCAACCAACCAACCAACCAACCAACCAACCGACCGACCAACCAAGAACCTATCACCCAACACATCCAGAAGAAAGTGGAGATGGAGATGGACTTGACGAAGACTGAGAATACGGTCTGTGGACATGACGTGTCAGGCCAGGCCAGGCCATGCCATGCCATGCAGTCGAGTGGACGATAAATGGGAGAGGACGAGTTGGGCGTCGGAGTTGAGGGTGACATGGAGGAGATGGTGTGTGGAAGAAATGAAAGCTTGTGGGCAGTGGTGTAGCCAGGTTCGAATGACTGCAGAGAGGGGAGTGAAATGATGACGTACTACTGATGTACTACTGTGTTCTACTAGGAACCCAAAGGAAAAATAATAATGGTAATAATTTTCACGAAACATAGGGTTGTATGTTAGGTGATATCAAATTAGACTCCTTTACGGTTGACGAATCAGTCTGAAATGATTTATAACAACAAAATAGGTGTGACATGAATGAGACAACTGATCACAAAAATCATCAATAGAGCTATGGGTTGTTCAGTTGGATAAATTTCTCCATTCTCCCATTCTCAAATGTGCGTGAAAAGTGACTGTACAACTAGGTGAGACAAATTTTTCTGTAGTAAAAGATAAAATAAACAACCATTTGTGCACATTATCAGGTATAGAACACTCGATTGTATCAAGGCGTTATTTAGATGAAGGATTAAAGTGATGTTGAGCATTGCTGCCAACTAAATCGCATATTGTCGAAATCATTCTCCCACACAGCTCACTGAAGTGATGATAGCTTAAAATAGAATGCAACAGTATACTCAGCTGGGCAACAGAGTCTTGTCGACGGCATAATAACATCCAAGTGAGTTACTTGAACAAACAACGATCCATTTCGGTGCACAATACACTGGAGCAACTTTACCAGTTTATCATGACTTAGTGTTTTCCTGCTATCTCACTGTCATCCAGTTTGGTAGTCTTGTCATCAAGCCCATAGTTCTTGCAGATTCATGACATTCTAAGACCAGGATATTTGATACTTCAAAAAGATGAAAAAGTGTGGACATGATATATTTACAAACATCTACACAGACTCTCTTGTGAGGAACGTCTGCTCAGAAGAAACAACAGGCGGTATAAACTATGCCGCTTCCATCACATAAATTGCTGTTATTGACAATACATTAAATTCACCCAATGGGAAATAAAAGTGTCTTTAACACTATCAGCACTCACTAGTTTTCAAGGTAGGTAAGCAGTTTATGTAGTTGGATGACCAGATACGTTCTAGATGTCACCTGAACCTAGCTACTAATATAAGACGGAGGAAAGATAGCATTTCCACGATTAGTGTAAAAACTGGCGTATGGAAGATATCGCCAAAAAATCCTGCTGAAAGAGAATGGGGCAGTTCGCTCATCAACTCGATTTTAAGTGGTAAAAACACTAGACAAAACCTGGGACGCAGACACTCGTAAGATCCATTCTACCAAAAAATTAGGTGACATTCAAGAGAAATAGAGGTCTCCTAATCAGCAGTACCACATACAATATACCGACCGCGTCATTACAAAACCAGGCACACGTGACTTCAATTCAAGAACTTGTTCAGCCAACACACACAACTATCATCAAAACTACAACAGCAGCAAAACTGGCTGCAACAGACAAGCAAGTAGGCACACGAAAGTGGGAAAATACATTTCAATTTAACATGCAACTGTGTATTATTGTGTTATTAGCATGAGGTAAGCAAGGAATAGAATGTTTTGTTGGTGAGAGAAAAGGAAAAGGAAAATGAAACATTGGTTAAGACATTCTGTCTCTCCAGGTAGTCCTTTACCAGGACGTCAATGTGAAGCATCAATTAGCATGACGGTATTACAGTTGAACAAACAATGTTTCATCAATGGCATCCTGTTCTCAGTGATATTTGAATAGTCCTGCTTTCAGAGTGATTCCTTGGTGGTTTTGGAGTGATGTGGTTCGGTTTTGAAGTAGAACGAGTGCTATATCTAGAGTTGGCAGGCATACTCGTCATTATTCTCGCAACATTGCTCACCGGCGATGCCGTGACCTCGTACGGAAACTGATTTTGGTAGTTACCTCTGAAAATGAATAAAGGAGATGAGTAGTAGGACAGTAGAGTAAAGAGTTAGTTTGTGGACACGGATCAGTCGTACAACTGCGATTCAGTTCACACATCTGTTCAATCTGGTGTCGTGTGTGACTCAAAGTAGTGCTGACGAACTGTGTGTCAGCCTACTGCCATTTTTAGCTCATAGGCTGAGTACAGAGGACAACCATTGGCTTTGAACAGTGAGTGCGAAATACTGAAACCTGTCATACTGCCGTCACTAAAGGATATAGGAGGAATGGTTTATCAGAAGATGTGCGATGTGAACACTAATTGTCTTTCAGTAAATGTGAGACAACATTCCATTGGTGATCTTCAGCACTATCGAATCCAAAATAAAAGGTAATCCCACGTGAATCTGTGAATATGAACAGCTTACAAATTCAGGCAGCTTGGTCAAATGAGAGAACTGCGGCTCATGATAGAAACGTATGGCGGAATCAGCATTTATCACTGACGTCTTTTCAACTGGAAGCTGATGGGATAGAACAGCCTCGTGGATGCATATGCACGAAGGAAATGAGTGTGCTAACAGTTAGACTAGCTCCGGGTACAATGGTGAAGTGGCGACTGGAAAATGCAACACGAGTGGATGCGATTCACTTACTGATGCCTTATCCAAGAAGAAGACACTGTGAAGTGTGCGACGTGAAATCATCAGTGGTGACTCTTAACACGATAGGTGGCAACAGTGAATTTTCAGCATCTAACACATACAACCTTGTGCAAACTGGCGTGCACTAGTGGACACTAGTGGACAATGAAAACGTAGAACTCGGTTCAAATATGTTTGGCATGTACATAGACACTTTCCTTTCTCACAACTGACATTGCCATTTGAAGCTGTTCGGTGGATTTACACCAGTGGTGATCGATAAGACAAGAGAAAAAATGTATAAGCCTGGCAATTAAATACGAGGGATGAGAGTCATTTGTGTTCAGCAGAGTCAAAGATATTCATACTCTGTTGGCTGACAGCACAAAATGTTGTAGTTATTTCGCTCTTAATCGGGCTTCTCAGATGAGGAAATTCTGTAAGAAATATGCCACTGGAAACCAGTTATCATTTCAGTCACAGACCAAATGTCTTATTCAGGTGAGACCAGATATCTATCCACTGCACATCGTCAACGTTCATCCTTCAGATTCCGAATTAGAGTGTCAGAGTGGTATAGCTGGATGTTGGGTGCATGCTGTTGTGATGGCATCGGATTTCTACCTTCTTCTCATGCAGCGGGAAATATCGCTAGATGTCCAAAAGTGAGACAGCTACTGGGCAGTTCGTTGGGACCCGTTACAATTCATCATTACCGAAAAGGAGAGACAGTCAGTGAATGAGCTTCTGACTTACCCAGGTCCATAGTTGCACACAATGCTCAGTCCATATTGGAAACTGGGACAATCCGT